TTATATGATGGTAAAATGTCCTCAATAGTCCATATTTAGAATAAAAATATTTGCAATGGTATAGTTAGTAACAATTCATCTAATATATAGTCACTAGAAATAATGTCTAGGATTCAATAAAGGGGGTAAAGGTAAATCCTTTGTTGAGGCCATTTGGAAATAAAGTATCCAACTTGTGAATCCATTTTTCCCATTTGTACATTTTCAACACCAGCGAATTTAAAACATCTGGATGAGTCGCTGTGATGTAATCTAGCGTGTCTCGCAACAGGATTGTCTCTTTCAGATGTTACTGAATGGATATGTTCCATCATATGTCTTTTTAGAGGACGTATAATTTTCCCTACATATTTACCACATTTACAAGTAAGGAGATAGACCACCCCTGTTGAATTGCAGTTCAAGAACTGTTTAATTGGGATCTTCTGCATACCAGAGGAGTCTGTTATGAACTTGGAGTCTCTATATAGCGGCAAGCTACACAGCGTCCGCATTGATAGGTACCTTGCACATTAATCCAGCTCTTCTTGTTAGTATTAAGTATTGAAAAATGACTTGGTACCAGAAGATCCTTTACATTTTTCCCTCTCTTAGCAGTTATAGACACTTGTGGGGAAATTACATCTTTCCAATGACTGTCTTGAGTGAGTAGTGGCCAGAATCTTGCCAAAATCTTTTTGGCTGTATCCCACTCTGCATCATAATTTGCAACACCTAATTATTTTTGGGGGAGATATTTTTGGTTCATCCTTCAAAAGGGCCTCACGTTCACATAAAAGAGCTCTTTGATATGCCTGTTTCAGGCACCTATTGGGGTACCCTCTTGCTTTAAATCTAGCTCTTAACAAAGAGGCCTTTTGTTTGAAATCCTCAAGTGAGGAACAGTTTCTTTTTAATCTCAAGTACTGTCCCACTGGAATACCCCTCTTAAGCGAGATGGGATGGTAGCTTCCCCAACTTAACATGTTAGTGGATGTGGGTTTACGGTATAGGGTAGTATGAATCTGTAGTTCGTCAGTAATAGTCAATGTACAATCAAGAAAATTCAGTGATGGGGTGCCTACCTACATGGTAAAATGTAAATTTAAATCTTTTTCATTAAGAGCTTTGACAAATTCAGTGAAAAGCTTTCGTATTTGTCCATATTATTAGGATATCGTCTATGTAACGTTTCCATAAATATACATGGTCCATATATTGTTTCAAATGTTCTGAACATACAATGTAGTTTTCCCACCATCCCAGGTTCAGGTTAGCATAGGAGGGGGCACAAGTCGTCCCCATAGCTGTACCCCGCACCTGGTGGTAGAACTTGTTATTAAACAAAAAGAAATTGAGTGAGTATAATCTGCAATAAATAACAAAAGTAGTGTCGCCAATGTTGTGGGCCCCTTGTTTCTAAGAAAGAGCCTACATGTTCTATGCCACTCGTGGGGTATAGAAGAATACAGTGCCTCCACATCGAGATTGCATATTAAAGCTCCAGATGGTACCTTTAGAGATTTTAAGCATTTCAATGTGTCTTTTTAGTGTCTTTCAGGTAGGAAGGTAATTGTTCTACATATGGTCGTAGAAGCTTGTCTACATATATGCTCCCTTTACTTGTAAAGTTATTAGAACCTGACACTATTGGTCTAGCAGTCAATGTCTCGTACTGCTTATGAATTTTCGGAAGGCAGTAAAATGTTGAGATTACAGGATTTTTAACAAAAATACTACCGTACTCATCCAATAGAGTTTTATACTCAAGCATAAACTTTGATGAAGGGTTGACAGTAAGTACTCTATGTATTTTCATCATTGAGTATAACTTCATCCATTTGGACATAATGGGGTCTATTCATAATGACAATGTTGCCCCCCTTATCTGCCGGTTTAATGATATGTTCTTTCATCTTTAATTCATTTAGTGCCCTCCATTCTTTTTTAGTGAGGTTTTACTGTCAACATATCCACATTGAATTTTTTTTTATCATATTGGTGGTTGATTTAACAAACATATCAATATTTTTTAAATCACGGAAATTAGGGGTGAACTTACTCTTAGGATGAAGGTCTGTATACGGAGGTGGGGAAACATTGTCATTAGATTCTAAAAGCGACACCAAATCCAAAAGACATTGATATTCCTTTATATCAAAGCCCAAGTCTTTTGCTTTTTTCTCATCTCTCACTTTAAAGAATTTATGAAGGGCAAGTTTCCTCCCAAACAGATTGATATCCTTAATCCATTCAAATTTACAGAATGGAGGAGTTGGAACAAAAGACAGACCCTTCATAATTACTTCACTCTGTATCATCGTGAGAGGAGTATCTGATATATTAATTATTCTGGTGTCTTTTTCTAATATCGTCTGCGAGTTCTTCCCCTGTTGCGGGTTTGTCTGAGTTGGACATGTCTCTCCCTCTCGGGGGAGTTGTCCTTAAAAAAACACACCTTTCTTAAGGATACCTTTGCCGGGATTATGCATCGTCTGAGATACGGGGGCTTGTTCAATATCTGTATCAGAGGTTTCATATTCAGACGTAGTACAGTAATCAATCAAATCTCGTGATCTTTTTAAAGCGTCTTTAGACTCTTCCTGATTTATAGTCATCGTTATCTCTAACAAATTTTTTATGTTTACTTGCCTTGATGATATTGATATTTTTTCAGATTTTCTTGTAATCTCTGTTCCTGAGTTTGAAAGGAGGGATCTGCTGTACATTTTTGAATACCCTCAACTTCTATATTAACCTTCTCATCAATCTGCTTCAGTATCTCGGATTCAAACTTTACTAAGATCTCCATATGTTTTTTGGAGCAGACATTAGATGCCTCATCCCGTTCTTTCAATAAACAGGGATCATCCATTTGTGCATTAGGTGTGGTCTGAATCCTCAGACCACTCGGAATCATTGATTTACTCAAATAGTTCTTTAATGATGTAACTTCACACCCAATTCTAATTTGTTGTTTACATAGATTGGTTAAAGTCCTAAATTTATAATTGACATTGTCTTGTTCAGGTAATTGAATATTATTTTTGTCTGAAAAAACAGACTGCATCTATACACCATGTTTTTGAATCTTTCAACTGAGACAGAAAATTCGCCATGGTATCAAAAAGATATATTAAGACCTTCTAATGAGTATATATTGACACACTAATAGGCCTCATTTCTTGCAAAAGAAGCAAATACTGCATTTCCATCAGCAAGTAATATATTTCAGCCATTTGGAATCTGAAACGACGAATGGCATGAATTCTGCTAGACCATCTTGTATTTGATAGTGGTTTCACTGTCAGCCTACTGATGTGCTTCAAGATGTCCCACCGATTTGTTGAGCCAGACAAAAAAATATATATTTTCTGCAGGGTACCAAAAAACGAATTGGCTTCCCTACAACACATAGCAGCATCATTGACAACAAGGTTTAAAGAATGAGCACTGCAAGGACCATAGAATACCCTTGAATTCAGAAAGGACGACTGAAGGAGATAGGTTAAATAAACAAATGCACTAGCAGACCTAGTATCCTTTGATAGGTTAAAATGCCTTCATTAATTGAGAGCTAAAGAAAAGAAACTAGAATTTTTAAAAAAACTAACCTACACATAAAGTGTAGGAAAACCTAATGGTGTGAAAAGAGAAGAAAAAATTAAAATAGGACCAACCGTTGTAACAATTATCCAAGTAGTTACAAACAGAGACCGCTATTTACTATAATGTTGCAAATCGTTGCAACAGAATTGCACGTCTGTGTCTGGCTTTAAATTGGATCTTACTATAAAGGGTATATAGCAGGGGTAGGTAACATTCGGCACTCCAGATGTTGTGGACTACATCCCCCATAATGCTGGCAAAGCATCATGGGAGGTGTAGTCCAAAACATCTGCCGTGCCGAAGGTTGCCAATGCCTGGTATATAGATTGGTGCTTGATTGTGGCTATGATAAAAAATCTCAATAGAATTAGGTCATGAGTGACTTGAAATATGGGTATCCTAATTGCCCATGTCTAGATCAAAGCACATATGTACCCTAGGGGATAATAGAAAATAGATGTTTACAAGCTAAGGGATATTTGGGGAGATACAAAGCAACAAAACCCCAGACTGAAAGCTCAGTCAATCGGGAAACTAGCTATAGTAGATAGAGTTGAACGGACACCTGGATGTTCGGGTTCGCCGGGTACAGCCGAACATCGGCAAAAAGTTTGAGTTTGACCCCGAAGCCCATTGAAGTGGGGGTCCCGAACTTTTGGGCACTAAAATGGCTCTAAAAAAATGTCCTGGAAAGGGCTAGAGGGCTGCAAAAGGAAGTAAAATGGTAAGAGTAGGACAAGTGCCCTGCAAACAATTGGGGTAGCCTCCAAAATATTGGGACATATAAAAAAAAAAAAAGAAAAGAAAGAATAAGTGCACTGGAGTATAACTGGCTGGGTGAGGCCGGTATAAATGTGTATTCTGCACAAGGTACAGACAAGTCTGGTGGGATCCATGCCTGGTTCATTTTAATAAACGTGAGCTTGTCCACGTTGGCTGTGGACAGGCGGCTGCGCTTGTCTGTGATAACACCCCCTGCCGTGCTAAACACAAGTTCAGACAATACACTGGCTGCAGGGCAGGCCAGCACCACCAAGGCATAAAGGCCCTGTGCCCAATTTGGAGACCCAGAAGTTGAATGTGGCAGACCCATCAGTCAGTATGTGTAGGCCTGTGCACCTGTACTGTTCCACCATGTTGCTGAAATGCTGCCTGCATTCCATATCAGCTGGTGGTGCTGGTTGTTGTGGCGTGCTGACAAAGCTTTTTCAAATTTCGGCCATGCTAACCCTGCCTTCTGAGGTGCTGGCGACCTCCTCCGCCTTCGCCTTGTGCTTCCACTGAGCCCCCGGTGTCAGTTGGGAATGCCCTTAGCAGTGCGTCTACCAGCGTGCGCTTGTAGTTGCGCATCTTCCGATCACGCTCCAGTGAGGGAATTAAGGACGGCACGTTGTCCTTGTAACGGGGATCCAGCAGGGTGGCCACCCAGTAATCAGCACCAGTTAGAATGTGGGCAACTCGGCAGTCATTGCGCCGGCACTTTGGTGACTCTAGATAACCCCGGGCCAATCGCACGTCCCCGTGACGGCGACAATGCATTCAGATGTCTGCCCTATCAACTTTCGATGATACTTTCTGCGTCTACCATGGTGACCATGGATAACCGTGAATCAGGGTTAGATTCTGGAGAGGGAGCCTGAGAAACGGCTACCACGTCAAAGGAAGGCAGCAGGTGTGCAAATTACCCACTCCCGACGTGAGGATGTAGTGACGAAAAATAACAATAGAGGACTCTTTCAAGGCCCTGTAATTGGAATGAGTACATTTTAAATCCTTTAACAAGGATCTATTGGAGGGCAAGTCTGGTGCAGGGCAACTGACCCGTGAGTGCTGCAGCTGAAACTCCACTATCACCTGCTGCTGCTCGCACACTCTCTCCAGCATGTGCAAGGTGAAGTTCCACCTTGTGGGCACGTTGCATGTGAGCGGGAAGGCCGAAGTTACGCTGCAGCGCAGACAGGCGAGCAGCAGCAGGGTGAGAACACCTGAAAGCGCGCACAGACGGCCCGCACTTTCTGCAGCAGCTCTGATATATCTGGGTAGTTTTTCAGGAATTTCTGCACCGCCAAATTCAGCACATGTGCCAGGCAAGGGATGTGCGTCAAACCGGCTAGGCCCAGAGCTGCTACGAGATTTCGCCCATTATCGCACACCACCAGGCCAAGCTTGAGACTCAGTGGCAACAACCACCCATCGGTCTTTTGTTCCATGCTCGAACACAGCTCCTGTGCGGTGTGGGGTTTTTCCCCCCAAACATATGAGTTTTAAAACAGCCTGCTGTCGTTTCCCCCTGGCTGTGCTGAAGTTGGTGGTGAAGATGTTAAGCTGACCGGATGAGGAGATGGTAGAGGAGGAGGCAACAGGAGGCAAAGAGAATTGCCCTGCAATCCTCGGTGGTGGAAGGCCAAACTGCTACCCGCCTCAGGCCCAGCCGCCACTACATTTGCCCAGTGTGCAGTTAGGAAGATATAGCGTCTCTGCCCGTGTTTACTGGTCCGCGTATCAGTGGTTATGTGGACCTTGCCACAAATGACGTTGCGCAGTGCACACCTGATTTTGTCCGCCAATTGGTTGTGCAGGGAAGGGATGGCTCGCCTGGAAAAGTAGTGGCGGCTGGGAACCACCTACTGTGGAACAGCCACCGCCATCAGGTATTTAAAACTGTCCGTCTCCACCAGACTGACAGCATTTCAAAGGCCAGGTGCTGGCATTCAGGGCTAGGGATCGCGGGTGGGTAGGGGGGTACTTCCTCTTTCTCTCCAGTGTTTGGGAGATGGACAGCTGAACGCTTCCATGAGACAGTGTGGAGATGCTGGGAGACAGTGGCGAATGTGGTGGCGTTGCTGCCCCATCCTCTGTTTGCGGGGTGTCAGGTGCCACTGTCATTCCAGAGGTGGAGGAAGAGGCCGAGACAGCAGCAGAAGAGGAAGCAGGAGGAGCCTGAGACCTTTCTTAGTTTTTGAGGTGTTTACTCCACTGCAGCTCGTGCTTTGCATGTAGATGCCTGGTCATGCAGGTTGTGCTCAGGTTTAGAACGTTTATGCCTCGCTTCAGGCTCTGATTGCACAGCGTGCAAACCACTCGTGTCTTGTCGTCAGCACATTGTCTGAAGAACTGCCACGCCAGGGAATTCCTTGGAACTGGCTTTGGTGTGCTCGGTCCCTGGGTGCGGTGGGCAGTACCAGGCCTACTGTCTAGGGGACGGCCGCTCCGCTTTTGCACCCTGCTCCTTCTTATGCTGTGCTGGTGCCTCTGTGCGACCACCTCCTCTTCCTCCAAGCTGGACACGTCACTCGCATTACCTTGATTCCATGTGGGGTCTAGGACCTCATCATCCTCCACGTCATCTTCCACCCTCTCCTCAACCCTGCCCTCCTTGCCGGTCTGCACACTGCAGAAAGCCACAGCAGTTGGCACCTGTTTCATCATCATCAGAGACGTACTGCGGTGGTCCTCGCATGTCCACATCCCAACACGTAAGTGGTTGTGCATCAGGGCACTCAATCTCTTCCACTTCTAAGGCAGGGCTTGGTGGGTGGCCCACGGAAACCCCGCCAGCAGTCATCAAAAAGCGTAAGACTGCTGCATGACTTGTGGCTCAGACTGCTTGGCTGATTTGCAAACTGATCACCAAACTAACATGGTTTGAATTTTTCAAAGTGCGATGTAACCACAGTATTTGACGGTTCTATTTGACTCAGATATGAAGTGCACCGCAGGCCGAAAATGTACTATTTAGCACCAACAAAAATTAGAATTTTTAAAAGTGCGATGTAACCACAATATTTGACGGTTCTATTTGACTCTCAGATATGAAGTGCATGCCTCAAATTTACTTTTTAGCCCCCCAAACCAGAACAGGATTATAGTAATGTGCCTGGCACACATGCAGTTGCAAGTGCCCACCTAACAGACTGCTTATTTCTCTGTGGCACTGGGCTCAGGGCAGGGTGCAAAAATGTAGTAGGCACCCACAAAAATAATCGCTGTAGTTTGCAGATTCAACACCAGAATTCTTTCCTAATCTGTCCCTCACAGCTGCAGCATCCTCTCCCTACACTAAGAGCTCATGTGACTCCAGCTTATATAGAGGCTGGGTCACATGCTGCACTGGCCAATCACAGCCATGTCATTAGTAGGCATGGTTGTGATGGCTTGTAAGGGCACACAAGTCAAACACTTGTTGATTTGGCTTTTCAAAATGCGCCATTAAATCGCCGAACTCGAACCGTTACTGAAATGTCCGGGTTCGGGGTCAAAAAAAATCGCAATGTTCGCTTCGAACCCGAACTTTACAGTTCAGGTTCGCTCATCTCTAATAGTAGATACAAAATAGATAAATTCATCCCCGGATTACAACATCCCAGCAAGTAACAGTATCATGAGCTGATAAATGCATATAACAATGTAAGATAAACTGAAAAAGGTCCCACACTCAGTAGCATAAAGCGCTGTGGATAAATTTATACATGCATAAAAAAGGTGAGGGAATGGGTCTCATAGTATGAACGGTGGCCAAATCTGTCAGAGCCCTGGAATAACAGCCGTAATGTCAGGGTTCCAACTCTGCAACACAGCCGTAACAGAACACACTCTCCCCCCCCTCCCCCCCAGGAGAATAAATGAAGATGTACTGTTCAATGATACAGCAAATATAGACGTCCCAGTGCTAGCGAATAGAGGTCATTACACCTCAAATCAAACCTTGCTGTTATAATACGAACGGAGATTTGGGGTATAGGATTTCCCTATGTTGATCGCACAGAAAAAGGTTTAAAGTTAGCTGTGATGGTAGGAAAAGAATATTCAGTAAAAATACTTCTACTCAAACTATTCCCCCTAAAAAGGGAGGAAAAAGTAAGAGACAGCGGTGGTCCTAATATAAAAACATCCACAGTAATGGGAACCTAGCCCGACGTGCGTTTCGGCGTTACCATGCACCTTTGTCAAGAGCTAAATGTGGACTGCTCACGCCACTTTTTAAACCTTATAAGACACACCCCTTGGAATCAAGATGCTCGCGAATCAAATACAAAAGTGGGGGGGGGGAGCGTATCCTACTTATGTGGGTGGCCTGTGTTGGAAGTACTGCAGGGGATAAATCATTAACTCCCAAAGTACCGAAATTGTTGAAGGAATCATACCTCCCAATACCATCAATGGGAACAGAATACCTATGTCTTAGTTTCAAAGGGGAAATTTTGTTTGATCATTGCAAAAATAAATAGGGATATGGTGAGTATACCGATAGTATTGGAGATATAGTTCAGCTATTGGTATATATCTAACCATAATGACATTATTGGATTATCGGACTGATACAGTTGTCAGTCTAGTGAAAGCCAAAGGGCTAGCTATGATCATATTACATCCTGCATTAGTATGCATAATATAGAGTAAGTGTTTTATACTTAAGACAATATGTTACCATATTGACGAACTGGCACTATTGTATAGATGTCAGTCCCAGTTGTAAGCAAAAAGGTTACGTAAGATCATGTTTCATCTTATGATAGGCATAATATAAAGAGTAAGGGTTTTAGAATTAGATCCATGTAAATTACCATATTCATATAAGGCATATTACAGTTGGATCATGGACTTATGGTTTTTAAATTATTGTATACGTGACCGTATTGATAGTCAAACTTAATGCTTTCCTATGGCGCTGGCGTGCTCTCACTGTGAAAATCAGTGAGAAGCACGCACGCGCCTCTAGTGGCTGTCAATGAGACAGCCACTACAGGGAGTGCAGAATTATTAGGCAAGTTGTATTTTTGAGGATTAATTTTATTATTGAACAACAACCATGTTCTCAATGAACCCAAAAAACTCATTAATATCAAAGCTGAATATTTTTGGAAGTAGTTTTTAGTTTGTTTTTAGTTTTAGCTATGTTAGGGGGATATCTGTGTGTGCAGGTGACTATTACTGTGCATAATTATTAGGCAACTTAACAAAAAACAAATATATACCCATTTCAATTATTTATTATTGCCAGTGAAACCAATATAACATCTCAACATTCACAAATATACATTTCTGACATTCAAAAACAAAACAAAAACAAATCAGTGACCAATATAGCCACCTTTCTTTGCAAGGACACTCATAAGCCTGCCATCCATGGATTCTGTCAGTGTTTTGATCTGTTCACCATCAACATTGCGTGCAGCAGCAACCACAGACTCCCAGACACTGTTCAGAGAGGTGTACTGTTTTCCCTCCTTGTAAATCTCACATTTGATGATGGACCACAGGTTCTCAATGGGGTTCAGATCAGGTGAACAAGGAGGCCATGTCATTAGATTTTCTTCTTTTATACCCTTTCTTGCCAGCCACACTGTGGAGTACTTGGACGCGTGTGATGGAGCATTGTCCTGCATGAAAATCATGTTTTTCTTGAAGGATGCAGACTTCTTCCTGTACCACTGCTTGAAGAAGGTGTCTTCCAGGAACTGGCAGTAGGACTGGGAGTTGAGCTTGACTCCATCCTCAACCCGAAAAAGGCCCCACAAGCTCATCTTTGATGATACCAGCCCAAACCAGTACTCCACCTCCACCTTGCTGGCGCCTGAGTCGGACTGGAGCTCTCTGCCCTTTACCAATCCAGCCACGGGCCCATCCATCTGGCCCATCAAGACTCACTCTCATTTCATCAGTCCATAAAACCTTAGAAAAATCAGTCTTGAGATATTTCTTGGCCCAGTCT